ATATAAAATCTCATGTCTGATATCCTGTTTATATTCACACATTTAAGCTTCATATTTTTGTAAATGCTAGTTTGTGTGATGTTTTTCAATCCATTTATTGTTAATGTATCCAATATATATGGTTGAGAAGCTTAAACAGTATTACAAACTGGTACACTGTATGTGGTTGGAGCAGATTTAATTTTTAAAGGGTCTGTACCCACAATGTGTTAAATAATTACATTTAAAAAAAGAGAAACTACTATTCATCTCCCTCTAGTGGTTTAAGACCAGTGTTGAGGAAGTACTCGGACTGTAATAAAGTATTATACGTAATATAATATTAGTGATATAATATAAGTAATATAGTATAGGGTATACTACTTAAAGTATTATTAACACAGTTTAGAAATACTCTTTTACAAATGAAAGTCATACATTTTCTACTTTTTAACATCAAAATATAATTAAAGTATCAATAATTATTATTAATGCTTATTATTTTCTTAGTAACAGATTAATTGTTTACTCTGTAATACATAAGAAACCTCTGAAGAATACGCAGTGCATGTTGTATGTGTTTTGTATCATCTTCCTATGTGATTTCTTTAGATTAAAAAATCCAAATCTGAAAGGTAACCAGTTAGTGCACATCGTCAAAAATAAAAAGTGGCGTAAAAAGTTTAATATTTCCTTTTGAAATTAGAATAATGGGGAAAAAACACTGAAGCACAAAAAGCTTTCATACAAATGTATTTCTAGCATTGTGAGTAAAGTGTATTATTATATTATAATTGTTGTAACCCTGCTAATCGACGCTCCTCTCTTTTATTCTGTTGCTTCGTCTTTGTTTCCGATCTTTCGCTGCTCTGACCTCTGACCTCAGTCCTCCTCTTCCTCTTCCTCTTCCTCCCGTCCACAGGTTCGGGGGCCGCACGGTGACCAGCGGCAGCCTGGTGTTAGCCACCGTGTCGTCCCGAGAGGACGGGGCCGCCCAGCTGACAGTCAACTGTGAGAAGATGGTGATCGGCACCATGCTGGTGAAGGACATCCTGCTGGCGCTGACGCAGTGACCTGTGACCTTTCTGACCCCCCCCCCCCCACATATCGTCAATAACACGTGTAGCATCTCCTCCGTTCTCCTGTCAGCAGCGCCTGCCAGGAAGTTTCCAGAATGTTTTGGTTCAAGAGCCCCTAATTTAAACAAAATACTCCCTATATTCACTGAAGGCCACAGCAGTGCGTGATGTTTAAGACAATCAGACTCAATATGAAATCCCTCTTTTTTCATTTTAACCTTTTTAAATGTTGAAAAAATACTTGATTTGCAAGATATTTTCATTACTTAAGAAGCCAAATGGATTCATAGGACTCCAATTCTGATTCTGTACAAACAAAAATGTCTTCTTTTAAACCCTAAATCTACTTATAGTGAAAAGTAGATGAATGTTTAACCATTACAAAACACCAGGTCCACTTACTGAATCTTTTCCAAGCTTTCAAACATCCTGTGGCCTTTCTTTAGCAGATGGAGCTACTTTCTTGTCACGGACTCAATGAACACAAGGCACGTTTATTTACAATTCAAAGCGCTTAACATAAGACGTTAGATTGAATATAAAATAAACAACTCAAAGGTCAATTCAAAAAGCCACATTGAAGATAAATACATAAGTAATTTAGGTAAAACAAAGAGGATACAAATAAGCTTAATTAGTAGAAACAATGCATGATGCAGAATGTCCCAAATTTGATTTATTACAAGGCAGGAGGAAACAAAATCAGGTTTTGAGCCTTGAAGTAAGTAGTAAAAAACAAACGGAAGAATCTGAGTTTTTCAGTAAGAAGACATCAGAGGTCTGGACGCTGCATTATGATCAGAGATGATTCTGGAAACTCAGGACTTTGAATGGGTTAGAGCAGGGGTGTCAAACTCAAGGCCCGGGGGCCAAATCCGGCCCGCCACTTCATTTTATGTGGCCCACAAGAGCTTGCAAAGAATATAATACGTTTATTATAAGGTTACGTGCCGCTTTACATGAGCATGTTGCCCATAAACTACATGTCCCACAATGCATCTCATTTTGTGACATGCGCACTGAAGAGACTTGCAATTATTTGCCCTAGACTTCTGCTTTCAGACGTAGTTAATTATGAAGTTATTACCCTATCCGATAATAATCCAATGCAGAGGAAATATTGTAAAATAATACATTATTTTATATATATTTATCTATGTATATTTATATAGTCTTAAAGTTAATTACCATCGGCCCTTTGAGTGCAACCATAATTGTAATGTGGCCCGCGATTAAATAAAGTTTGACACCCCTGGGTCAGAGCCTTGACTGTAGGAAGAAGTCAAAGTCATTCCAGACCCTGAGAAAGATAGAGGAAGCCCTTCACATCCAATAATTACCTCCTAAATATAAAACACCTGTATTAATGTGACCTTATTACACACTGAGGTCATGTGACAACAACTCCATCTGCAGAGGAAGGCCTTTCGATGGGATTGAATACTTTAAAACCACAAAGTAAGTGAACCTTTGCATAGAGAATTATTTTGTGAAAACCAAACAAAAGTCGTCTTCCTCTAAATATATTCTCAGAAAATAAATGTAAAAATGATCCAGTTTCACCCATAACATTCAGTTTATTTTCTTTAAAATAACGTGGATGCCCAATTTTAGATTGTTAAATTGTTAGCAGACTATTTTAAGATGTAGATAATATAAGTAAACAATTATAATGTAGGTATAACTTCCCCCTAAAACACGTCAACACAATCTCCATCCAGTTATTTGACGTCATTACTTGAATGTAGCATGAAGGCTCGAGTGGGACACGACTACCTATAACTGAATCATTCCTCTTCGGCACAATACACTTATTTTTATCGTTAATTTATAACTCGGCGGATCCTGGGAATAAAGACGGATCTTCATCTCAAATTCTGCAATTTTAAGATTACGCCTCGCTGTCATAGTGCTCATGTTCATCAAGAAGGGCATTTATAAAAACTGGAGATGTATAAATGTTATTGTATGTATTGCAACATGTAATACAGTACTGCTATACAGTAAGTAAGGTGTGTGTGTGTGTGTGTGTGTGTGTGTGTGTGTGTGTGTGTGTGTGTGTGTGTGTGTGTGTGTGTGTGTGTGTGTGTGTGTGTGTGTGTGTGTGTGTGTGTGTGTGTGTGTGTGTGTGTGTGTGTGTGTGTGTGTGTGTGTGTGTGTGTGTGTGTGTGTGTGTACACTGAATATTGACCTGGCAAACAATAAACTAGCTGTTAAAGAAATGACTCAACATGACACTTGACTTGAAATTATCATGAAGCACGTTATAATTATTATAACTGAACAATAAGTACGAAATGACTGCTTAAAGTTTAACAGATTGAACATTATATTTACATCCAAGGAGCTGTAAACAGAGATTTCTTTGGTGCATTTCTGGCTTAAAAATGAGTTAAAATTAGCACATCAATTGATTTTAAATTAAGCTGCTAATCGGTTTTCTGTTAATCATATAACCGTTTTTTTTCTCAACCAAATTCAAAATTAAAACGTTGCCATTGAAGCCATTTTTTAATAAAAAATAAAAATGTTAGGAAACTTAATTACCTTCTCATTTCACGTTCTGTCAGACAGCAAGTTTAAATTATATATATTTCAGTCAGACAACTCACGTGTTTCTTAATGTTTATTAGAAGCAGCATATAGTTTGAGTTTGGCGTCTAGGCTCGGGCCTCATCACTCCACAGATTTACAAAGAACATTGAGTGATGATTAGATAACTATCCCCCGAGCCTACAGGTGGAAGCTGGGGTGGAGCTCGGGTGGTGGGGGGGCAGGCGAGCAGCAGCAACATGAAACACAGCAGCAGGAACATGAACGCAGCAATAGCAAGTGAACACAGCAGTGGCAGCAGCAGCATTAGCGAGGCAGAGGCAGGACGACCTGGCATCTTAAATAGAGCGGCATGTTTAGGAGAATGTATTTGGTTGGTTGTAAGAGGGACGAGGCGCGTCACGTGGTAATGTATCGTTGGTGCTCGGGTTGACTGCCTGAACTAGCTCGCAGGCTTCGCCCCATTTAAGGATAAACTGTAATCTCCCATTCTGAAACCCCTACTGTTAACATATCTTCGATTTACTTTAAATACTTTTACCAGAATCAGCCGTCAATTTGACTCAGTGTAAATGTGACCATTGAGTTTAGTCAAATAAATTAGAATACATACAGATTATAATTAAAGTAGTGCTTCATGATAATGTCAAACATGTTCAATTGATGTCATTTGACGAGACTGTTTTCATGTTTTTTTTATATATAATTTAATTTATGATCATGTTGCTTCTTTTCTGTTTTGGACCCTCTTGTATCCAGCGGTTGCACGTTTCTTATCTTTAACACAATAACTGTTTTTATTTATTTATTTATTTATTGTTGACTTTGTGTTGGAAGATGTTTGACCAAAGGAGTACATTACAGTTACTTCCTGATATTAGAAAACTGATATTTTTGCACCCGTTGCATTGTTTACCATTAAAGCACCACACAGTCATGATGAAGAATGTAAAGAGTAAGAAATTCTACTTGTAATGTAAGAAACCCACTGGCTAACTAAAGACTGCCCTCACCAAACAGATGGATCAAATCATTGAATTCATGACCTGGAATTAGTTTTCCTCTGCATCGGCTTTCGAATATCCAAAGTATGTTTTATTCATGCTCTGTGTGTGGTTGTGAAATGTGGTCCTGAAGTATTACAAGTTTATTTATTATACAAATAAAAAATACAAATACATCCTTGTGTGTCTTCTCAAATAATCTCTACATAGTCCATTCGTTTTTGGTCAGAATTATTGACATTTTCCTGAATGCTATCTCAACAATATCAAAAACAGGCAAGTGGACACTTTTGTTTTTTGGTGTTAAATATGTACTTTAAAGGTGGGGTAGGTAAGTTTGAGAAACCGGCTCGAGATACACTTTTTGTTATATTCCATGGAATGCTCTTAACATCCCGATAGCAATGAATATCTTAAGTGCTTTGACAAAAAATCCATAAAGAAATGTCATCTGTGGAAGCCGTAGAACTGTAAAAAGTACAACCAATCATTTTAGCCGGCCCGGCTAAAATAACTGGATGGCCTACCTGCCGGTCAGCCTTCCACCTGTGCACAAACTTATCTCGTGCCCTCATTGGTCATGTGCGCGTTCGTGTGTGTTGGAGGAGGGGCTCTGTAAGGAAGGGGCAGATTTTTTCCGGCTGTGCATTTTCAAATTCTAGCGCACTCGAGCTGGTTTCTCCAAAATTACATACCCCACCTTTAATTGAAGTGCTGAATTTAAGTAACATTTTTGAGGAACATGTACTTTGAGTTTTTCCAGGAAAATATGGCACCTTTTACCTCAGCTGTTTTACTATTATTCTCAAACAAAACCCATAATAATCTTTTAAAATACCATATATTTCTCAACATTACATCAGTGTTTTCTACTGCCACTTCAATCAATGATGCATTGCTTAAACATTCCCCATCTAATGTCATACATTAATAACATAACAGAAGTCACAGGAGATATTTTATTAGTACTTTTACCCTCCATTTTGCTGATATGTACTTTAAAATATATTTTTTTAATGCAGGAATTTCGCTTGAAGTATGTATATATAGTAGTGTTAGAGTGTAGGTGATATTAAAACACACAACTGAGATAAACAAAATAGCGTTTATTTAAATCAAACTGCTTCAGTCGTCACAAAATACAGCCAGCTTATAAACAATGTTGCTACTCAGATATAAAGGTTTTTTAATCTAGACATGTTTTTATTAAATAAGCAATCTTTGGGTATTCCACAGGAATGCTGAACCGGTGTGGTCCAGTATGTGCAACGAAATCACAGATTGGGTACAGAATGATCCTGAGACGCCTCTAAAATCTACTGAATGCATAGATGTAAACATGATTGTATTTTTTATGAAAAGAATAACTGTTTTAAGAACAGTGATTTGGCCTCAAAACAATCACGAGAGACGTTTTACATTGTAAACTAAAAAGTAAAACAGATTTGTGAAGCTGAAGTTTTTCATTTCAGACATCCTTAGCTAATAGTAAAACTGTTCTAACCTGATAATTAAACACACCTCGTAAAACCTGAAACTACTTTA